TTGGAGGCATCGGAAGCGTCCGAAGAGACGGAATCAAGCGTTGCATTTGAAACAACGACTCACACCTGGAATCCACGAACCGTTGTCTATACTCTGCCACCAGAGCCCGGAAGTCAGACCTCATCCGCACAATCCTTGTCTCATACAAGAGTCGGCGAAACAATTTTCACTTTATTATTCACATCTTATATTGTATTCATTTCCACGAAAACATTACTTAATTAAATAGTATTTCATTTTCATAAAATTTATTCAATCAAATCATATTCATAATACATTAATTGCACTCATTTTATTCATTAAAACTCATTTGTAGTTAATTAGGAGTTGATATCTTATGATGTAAAATATATCGTTTACTGGTATAATGTTTGATATGATGTGTTAATTAAAGGCTTTAAGATGGTCTTCGTCTAACATACAAACACTCGGTTTAAATTCTGGGTTTTTGATAGGTACAGAATTTTGTATTATTGGTTTTGTAGGTACAGATTTGGATGTACAGTATATCTAAAATATAGTATAGTTTACTTTTTCAGACATTCATAAGTGAGAAGCCTTACTCTAATTATAAGGTCTAATATATTGTACTTTCAATTGATTTAAATATTTCAATCCATTTCAATTGATTGCTTGGATTTGTTTTATTGGTATATCCTTTCAAATAATAGATTTTAAAATACAATTTTGAATTCTTTATATTAAATTTTTGAACACATTAACTACATGCTAATTGTTGGTCGTGTGAATCCTATTCTCCGATCACTTCCAGCTGATCATCAATGGCATCATTGTTGGTCTGATTTCTCTTTAAACAATCTATAATTGAATTCACATTAAATACTATTATTACTCGATTATAAATTAATTACATCTGATTAATAAGTAAATGATTCCAATCCCAGTGAAAGCGACCAAAACTGCTATTACTATTGCAATTGAATGTCCAGCGAATATATTGACCCAATAATTAATATTCTGGTCGACGTGTTGTAAATCATTTTCTTGTAAATTTTGTAAATTATCATCGGGTTTGAGTGTGGACTCGGTTGGGGGCTCGGGTGGAGAGTATTCATAATGATCTTCACTAATTGGAGGACAACTCAATAATTCAAACAAATCTTTGCCCTAATTTTATATAAAAATGTATTGCTGTAATATTAATTAGTATATGAAACAAGTGGTAGTAAACCATATAATCAAGACTTCTGTGTCCAAATTCATCGATATAAAGCTTGAAAACCCATCGATTTGTTCCGATCGCATAAATACTTCCGTTCAGATGAAACAAACCGTTGAAGAATACATCACTTCTAAGGAAACTAATCTTTAAATGTTTCCACCAATTCTTGTCTCGTATATCACTGTAGACAAGGGCTGAAGTGTTTTCGTATCCGTTGTCTATCAAAAATAGTATCTCATATTTTACACCGGTTATTTGTGGCTATTTGGTGTTTGACAAACTATATTACACACCGGTTTATAGTTTACGTAGCGGCGAATATAGGGTGCCGTATAGTGAACCTAAACAATATTATTTAGGCAAATTAACAGGTTCACTCATAAATTGAAACTCATTTTCATAGACAATCATAAAAGACATATTCAGAGCTTTTTTATAATCGGCGCAAGAATTGACTGAATTGTTCGCACATTCGGGCACTTCGCTGATGAACACCGAACTCACCACTTGATGTCCTGATTACAAAAATGGCATTTAATGTATTGAATTTAGTTTATAGACATAATTACCAAAGATGTCCGTTTGATTCAACGGTGTGTTAGTCTGTCCGACAATTAGTTGGTTATAAGACCACATATACTCGTCATTAGTAATCTGGATGTCGTTATTATAGTTAAATATATACTCAATTACTCCGACTTTGCACAAGTCTTTTGCAATCACTGGTCGCTGAACTTCATATGCTTTCAAATTGACAAAAGTTGTAATAATATAGAGAGAAATGGCTAATAATTTCATTTTATTAAATTTATAATTTGCTAAATTTTGTGAAAACTATACAAAAATTAGTTTTACAGAAAACTTTGTATTCGTTACAGTCTTACTGTTATTGGGATTAGAGTTTTGATCTAATATTACTAACTTATATTCTCTCTATTTGTAACATAATATAAAGCATATAATTTATTCTACTGTTGTTTAATTGTCATACATATTAAACTATGTAAAACATTACAGAACTTAATTAATTAATTTTTAACGCATTTAATTTTAATACAAGTTTCAATTTAACAATTGATTAAATCATGCAAGTTTTGCGCTAAATATTTAAATAAAATAATTCAAATATTAAATTCAATTTTTAAATACATCGAAAAAACGGAAAATCTTTTAATAAATGGCAATTAGTTTAATAAAAACAGATTTAATTGAATTAATGAATGGAATCGACTAAAAATACGACCAAAACCCCCGATAGTGGCGATAATTGGTATGCAATACTTGTTGGGTCTTTTGTGTTGATAGCTTTGATGGCTGTAATAGTAGTGATTCTATGTGTTTATCTTTGTGTGAAATATTTGAGAAATAAAAATCAAATGAATAAATCGAAATCAAAAACAGCGGTTAAGGAAAGCGGTGTCCGTCGACCACAAGAGTCAGAGCAGAGCACGTCCACCGATATCAATACTGTCGACTCAATTACTGGCAATAAATTAACGGAAGACGAAAAGATACAGAAGAAGAAGGTGTGGGAAGAAGGCATTAAAAGAGCACAAAAATAAAATGATAGCATATTTGGAGATAAATTAGATAATATAAATGTTTTAATTTGTATCACTTTTTTATTGCATATTAATTAATATAATAATTGATTTTAGTTAATAAAATTTGTTCAATTTATTTGTCAATAACTTTATTTTTAACCACAATTCATATATAAAGAATGTGGTTTATAGGATCGTTTGTTGTAAATTAAATTAACTAAATTGTACTCGTTATTATTAAAAATAATAATTTGAAATAACAGAATCGCCAAGAATTTAAAAAAAAAACACTTCAGAAGTTATATTTAATGTTCTCAGTTTTAATTATAAATCATTTTATTAAAATTAATAAAGTATATTACAAACAAACATGTAATAAATAAATAAATACAACTAAAATGAGTAAACAAAATTCAATTGATTGTATATTTAATAATATATACGATAACACATAAAACAAAACCCGAAGGAAAGAGGTATCGAGAAATCATGTCTATTCTGTTGGCTCTGGCGTTAAAGCCAGTGATTGCATAGACTTTAAACCATTTTGGATTCACTGTTGAATTCTCCTTCGCTTCCGCCGTATTCTGTATAGTATTTGAATTATTAGCAAAACATATAAAATGCAATTTACTATTAATGTCTCACATGATTATGATTTTCTGCCTTAATTTTATTGGCTTTAGCCGTAATGTTGTCGTGATATGTGATCGCAAACGCGTATTCAATGAGCGCCAGGAATACAAACGCAATGCATGTAATCATCCAAACGTTAATCGCTATTATATACGATACGTTCACTTGAGAGCTCTGATACTGTTGTGTTATGAGAGCCAACAGAGCTGTTATGACCTAATTGTATACAATTTTTACAACCAATTTATCAATATTGATGATAGTATACAATGCAATCTTAATTTAATAGGTTGTATATGCTTTAAATAAATTATTATAATAAATATAAAAATAATTGTATGCATACGAGTGCAACTCTGGCCGGATAGGCCGATATGGGAATCCAGAAGCCAACAAATGACATGATCACAATCAGAGCGCTTGGGATATAATTCTTGAGTATATAAAGTCCCAATTGACGGGTCAGTACAATACGGCCCCTAAGCATTGAGAAGTTGCCTATAATATTAAACAATACAATTTAACATATAAAGTTTATATAAATGTATAAATGCAAATGTCTAAAAATTGATCATGGACAATCAAATAATACCAATGGCGTATTTCTTTATTAAGCCTTCTGACGAAAAGTCGGTTACATTGTATTGAGTCCTATGTTTAAAGAATCGATTGATTTTTGAGTATATATTTTACGATAAATTTGGAAAATAAGTGAAATTACATATAAAGTCGTTTAGTGAGTGAGAATTCTTTCCATTTGAGTAAAACAGTGTCCGTGTAATGAGAGACTAGAATTCGTGATTTCAAACAATTATACCATAAAATATTTGCCCAATTTTAGTATAAAGTTTATATGTAATGTGTGTATATGTACTATACTTTACTATACAATAGTGCATACTAGGCATGATAGGTTCAATCTTACGAAGTTGTTAGAAGTTGTGTAGAATATATCAGATTAGATACTGTTTAGACTCGTAATCGGGGCGTATTAAATAATAAATTATATACTCGGTAGCTTAATTAGAATGTTGAGCTCAACTTACAATTTTATTACCTTAGATTATCTTTTAATTTTTTCCAGGTTATTTTTATGATTAATATTCTGGACAATAATATTTTAAATATAAATCAAAATATTAAATATACCTAATCTGATCACGCTATACAACCACATTTGTCATACCTAGTTTACACTGTATAGTGAAATAATGTATTATGTATACAATAGCATAGAGAGTATAAAACATGGATCCATACGAGACATAATATCAATAAAGCATTCCTGGGAGTCGTGAGGAAACTTTGAAAACTCCATTTCACAACTCAATTGAAGTGATATTCTGTAAAACATTTTCGTTTGTAATAAATATAAATATATTGTTGCAAAACATTAAAGTAAAGTATTCTTGTGTTAAATTCAGAATATATTTTGTTGAATGCAAAAGCAAACGAGGGATTCGTATGAAAGTGAATGGTCGACAAACCTCGAGGCCATAAAAACTGTGGTCGTATTAGTGATTACGAAATACTGTGTGGGGAATATGATGTCAGGCACGCGTCCGTCCAATGCATTCTTGAAATACGAGTCCGGAATCCAGAGCTTCTTCTTCCAGGAATTATCCAAAACTATGTTTTGGGAATCGTTTGTGTGAAGCGCTTGTAGTCTGTAGTCAGTCCAGTACTGGTGATAGAATATGTCCGCGACATATGTCTGACAAAATAATACCCAATTTTAATCAAATTTTAATTATTTAAACTCAATTTAATTACAAGTTCTGTCTCTTTGATGGACCGAATGTTAAGCACAAACACTGAAACATCCACTTTCACCGGCTTTCCTGAAATGTTTGTAATGTTTTTTTGATTAAAGTATTCACTAAATATTTATATGATTATAAATTAAGAAATACATACCATTGAGATTTGGAGGAATAGACGGGTCGTAATTATAAGGCAATAGTAAATCGTGACTTTCATTACTAAAAACAAAACAATAATATTGTATTAAACGATTGCATGTAAACTAATGTCATTTAACTTACGTTTCATTTGCACAATTAAATAGAGGTAATATTAATGTAAATAATGTAAACCACAAATATAATGACAATTTAGTTTCCATTTAACTGAAAAATAATGTTATACAGTGTATTATAAAATTCAAATAATTTTTGTATCAATACATTAACATTTGCTATAAATACATTAAAATATAAACATTTTATAAATATATAAGATAAACTTTTAAAAATATAAAACTATTAAACTATTTTTAATAGATATTTAAACAATTGTTTGATAAGTTGATACAATTTTAACAAATTAAAACACGTTAAATACATAGGGATTTATTTAACAAACATTTACATTGAATGCAATCATAATATGATTTAATATTATTAAATACCTGTTAAAAATGTAACTTAAAATCCTTATGCGATGTATTTTAAAGAAAATAATATAAGTTTAATAGACTTGTAGTGAACTTCACTTCTCCGACGTCTAAATCATAATAAAAATAATAATTTCATTGTTTGACTGATAAATGAATCACACATTTGAATGTTAGCCAAGAAGTCGCTAATTTGACGAAACTATTGAATAAATAAATTTAGTGTTTATTATATTTTTAACTCTGTTTTTAGGTCTTTAGTATTTATAGCTCTCAGTAATTGTGAAAAGAGGCGAACATTTCGTTAACCTTAGGAATACTGAAATCTCACATCACTTTACGTCTCACATAATGTAAGAATAAATTGTGTTGTCTTTGTTTTAAAAAAAAAAAATTTAATTCACATTTCTCTTCATTAATATATGATATAATTTTATATAAATAATGGTTTCGTTTTTCAGCATTAAATTATATAAAAACATTAGTTTAAATAGATTTTCTTAGAAATTTATTTTAAACTTAAACTTCAAACGCTTTGGGAATTATTTTATTGATTTTTATGTCAGTAATAATAATATTATTCACTTTATTTTGCAATTAATTTCCAAAGCTATTGATTTTTCGTTAAGAAAGCACACGTTTGTTAAATAATCTCATTTTGAAGATTTTTGTTTTTAAATAATCTAATGTTAATTAAGAATATTCTAAATATTTTCTTAAACTTCTGGTAATTAATTACAAAGGATTTCAATAAATACTGTGAAAAATATTTTCTGTGCCACAAAATATTTAAAAACTATATTAATTATAAAAAATAATTTTAAAAAATAAGTTTTAACTTGAGTTTAGAATTAGTTTAACAGTAAATCTAAAGTTATAGTACTTTCGTTGAAATATTTATTTTTAAGTTCTTGCCTAAGACTTTGTTACCTAAAAACAGAGTTAAAAATATAATAAACACTAAATTTATTTATTCAATAGTTTCGTCAAATTAGCGACTTCTTGGCTAACATTCAAATGTGTGATTCATTTATCAGTCAAACAATGAAATTATTAGTTTTATTATGATTTAGACGTCGGAAAAGTGAAGTTCACTACAAGTCTATTAAACTTGTGTTATTTTCTTTAAAATACATCGCATAAGGATTTTAAGTTACATTTTAAACAGGTATTTAATATGATTGCATGCAATGTAAATGTTCATTGAACTTATTAAACCCTATGTATTTAAAATTTTTTAATTTGTTAAAATTGTATCAACTTATTATACAATTGTTTAAATATCTATTAAAAATATTTCAATAGTTTTATATTTTAAAAAGTTAATCTTATATATTCATAAAATGTTTATATTTCAATTTATTTATAGTAAATGTTAATGTATTGATACAAAAATTATTTGAATTCTCATAATATACTGTATAATATTATTTTTTATTTTTCAGTTAAATGGAAACTAAATTGTCATTATATTTGTGGTTTACATTATTTACATTAATATTACCTCTATTTAATTGTGCAAATGAAGCGTAAGTTAAATGACATTAGTTTACATGCAATCGTTTGATACAATATTATTTTGTTTTTAGTAATGAAAGTCACGATTTACTATTGCCTTATAATTACGACCCGTCTATTCCTCCAAATCTCAATGGTTTGTATTTCTTAATTTATAATTGTATAAATATTTAGTGAATACTTTAATCAAAAAACATTTCAGGAAAGCCGGTGAAAGTGGATGTTTCAGTGTTTGTGCTTAACATTCGGTCCATCAAAGAGACAGAACTTGTAATTAAATTGAGTTTAAATAATTAAAATTTGATTAAAATTGGGTATTATTTTGTCAGACATATGTCGCGGACATATTCTATCACCAGTACTGGACTGACTACAGACTACAAGCGCTTCACACAAACGATTCCCAAAACATAGTTTTTAATTAAAATTTGATTAAAATTGGGTATTATTTTGTCAGACATATGTCGCGGACATATTCTATCACCAGTACTGGACTGACTACAGACTACAAGCGCTTCACACAAACGATTCCCAAAACATAGTTTTAGATAATTCATGGAAGAAGAAGCTCTGGATTCCGGACTCGTATTTCAAGAATGCATTGGACGGACGCGTGCCTGACATCATATTCCCCACACAGTATTTCGTTATCACTAATACAACCACAGTTTTTATGGCCTCCAGGTTTGTCGACCATTCACTTTCATCGCTCGTTTGCTTTTGAATTCAAAAAATATATTCTGAATTTAACACAAGAATACTTTACTTTAATGTTTTGCAACAATATATTTATATTTATTATAAACGAAAATGTTTTACAGAATATCACTTCAATTGAGTTGTGAAATGGAGTTTTCAAAGTTTCCTCACGACTCCCAGGAATGCTTTATTGATATTATGTCTCGTATGGATCCATGTTTTATACTCTCTATGCTATTGTATACATAATAAATTATTTCACTATACAGTGTAAACTAGGTATGACAAGTGTGGTTGTATAGCGTAATCAGATTAGGTATATTTAATATTTAGAATTATATTTAAAATATTATTGTCCAGAATATCAATCATAAAAAATAACCTGGAAAAAATTAAAATATACTCTAAGGTAATAAAATCGTAAGTTGATTTCAACTTTCCAATTAAGCTACTGAATATAAAATTTATTATTTAATACATAAGTATTACAGCAATAACTGTTTTAGATAAAAATATTTTATGTGTAAAAAATAGTTGACCATATACAGTATATTGACTATATAGAATAGAATTTGATATAATAGAATTAATACGTTAACATTTATCTAATCTGGTATATTCTACACAACTTCTAAGATTCAACCTATCATGCCTAGTATTCACTATTAGGATTACATTTACAAACATTACATATAAACTTTATGCTAAAATTTGGCAAATATTTTATGATATAATTGTTTGAAATCACGAAATCTAGTCTCTCATTACACGGACACTGTTTTACTCAAATGGAAAGAATTCTCACTCACTAAACGACTTTATATGTAATTTCACTTATTTTCCAAATTTATCGTAAAATATATACTCAAAAATCAATCGATTCTTTAAACATAGGACTCAATACAATGTAACTGACTTTTCGTCAGAAGGATTAATAAAGAAATACGCCATTGGTATTATTTGATTGTCCATGATCAATTTTTAGACATTTACATTTATACATTTATATAAACTTTATATGTTAAATTGTATTGTTTAATATTATAGGCAACTTCTCGATGCTTAGGGGCCGTATTGTACTGACCCGTCAATTGGGACTTTATATACTCAAGAATTATATCCCAAGCGCTCTGATTGTGATCATGTCATTTGTTGGCTTCTGGATTCCCATATCGGCCTATCCGGCCAGAGTTGCACTCGTAGGCATACAATTATTTTTATATTTATTATAATAATTTATTTAAAGCACAACCTATTAAATTAAGATTGCATTGTATACTATCATCAATATTGATAAATTGGTTGTAAAAATTGTATACAATTAGGTCATAACAGCTCTGTTGGCTCTCATAACACAACAGTATCAGAGCTCTCAAGTGAACGTATCGTATATAATAGCGATTAACGTTTGGATGATTACATGCATTGCGTTTGTATTCCTGGCGCTCATTGAATACGCGTTTGCGATCACATATCACGACAACATTACGGCTAAAGCCAATAAAATTAAGGCAGAAAATCATAATCATGTGAGACATTAATAGTAAACTGCATTTTATATGTTTTGCTAACAATTCAAATACTATACAGAATACGACGGAAGCGAAGGAGAATTCAACAGTGAATCCAAACTGGTTTAAAGTCTATGCAATCACTGGCTTTAACGCCAGAGCCAACAGAATAGACATGATTTCTCGATACCTCTTTCCTTCGGGTTTTGTTTTATGTGTTATCGTATATATTATTAAATATACAATCAATTGAATTTTGTTTACTAATTTTAGTTGTATTTATTTATTTATTACATGTTTGTTTGTAATATACTTTATTAATTTTAATAAAATGATTTATAATTATGACTGAGAATGTTAAATTTACTATACATTATTATAAAATATAACTTCTGAAGTGTATTTTTAAATTCTTGACAATTCTGTTATTTCAAATTATTATTTTTAATAATAACGAATACAATTTAGTCAATTTAATTTACAATAAACCACATCTTCATATATGAATTGTGGTTAAAAATAAAGTCATTGACAAATAAATTGAACAAATTTTATTAACTAAAAGCAAATATCATACAATTAATATGCAATAAAAAAGTGATACAAATTAAAACATTTATATTATTTAATTTATCTCCAAATATGCTATCATTTTATTTTTGTGCTCTTTTAATGCCTTCTTCCCACACCTTCTTCTTTTGTATCTTTTCGTCTTCCGTTAATTTATTGCCAGTAATTGAGTCGACAGTATTGATATCGGAGGACGTGCTCTGCTCTGACTCTTGTGGTCGACGGACACCACTTTCCTTAACCGCTGTTTTTGATTTCGATTTATTCATTTGCATTTTATTTCTCAAATATTTCACACAAAGATATACACATAGAATCACTACTATTACAGCCATCAAAGCTATCAACACTAAAGACCCAACAAGTATTGCATACAAATTATCGCCACTATCGAAGGTTTTGGTCGTATTTTTAGTCGATTCCATTCATTAATTCAATTAAATCTGTTTTTATTAAACGAATTGTCATTTATTAAAATTTTTCCGTTATTTAATGTATTTAAAAATTGAATTTAATATTTGAATCATTTTATTTAAATATATAGCATAAAACTTGCATGATTTAATCAATTGTTAAATTGAAACTTGTATTAAAATTAATGCGTTAAAAATTAATTAATTTAGTTCTGCTATGTTTTACATAGTTTAATATGTATGACAATTAAACAACAGTAGAATAAATTATATGCTTTATATTATGTTACAAATAGAGAGAATAAGTTGGTAATATTGGATCAAAACTCTAATCAAAATAACAGTAAGACTGTAACGAATACAAAGTTTTCTGTGAAACTAATTTTTGTATAGTTTTTACAAAATTTAGCAAATTATAAATTTAATAAAATGAAATTATTAGCCATTTATCTCTATATTATCACAACTTTTGTCAATTTGAAAGCATATGGAGATCAGCGACCAGTGATCTCAAAAGACTTGTGCAAAGTCGGAGTAATTGAGTATATATTTAACTATAATAACGACATCCAGATTACTAATGACGAGTATATGTGGTCTTATAACCAACTAATTGCCGGACAGACTAACACACCGTTGAATCAAACGGACATCTTTGGTAATTATGTCTATCAACTAAATTCAATAATTAAATGCCATTTTTGTAATCAGGACATCAAGTGGTGAGTTCGGTGTTCATCAGCGAAGTGCCCGAATGTGCGAACAATTCAGTCAATTCTTGTGCCGATTATAAAAAGGCTCTGAATATGTCTTTTATGATTATATATGAAAACGAGTTTCAATTTATGAGTGAAAGACAATTAAACGGATTTATTATAACAAATCCAAGTGATATGCCGTGGGATATAAGCGGCGATGCATTTGATATTTGGCCACACATTATATCAAACAGTTTGTGGTTTATCGGTGTTTATTGGCCACA